GATAGTATTGTGTAGATAATGTAACGCAATAGCCACATAGTGTTCTTATTGACTCTACATTAGATAAAGTTAATAAGTATGAATTTTGCATGATAAAAATAAAATCTGAATCCCAAAAGCAGGGGCGTCTCAATGAAATCGGAGGCCTAAATCCAAAACTTAAGAAGATGTGAGGAAATAACATTAGTAATATGACAATGGTTGGATAATAGACACGATTAATTTAGATAACCAAGAAAAAATTATATGGTCTTAACAAATATTCTTTCAAGTTTTTAAGTTTTCTTTTAAGTATTCCACAGTATAACATTGTCTAATATTTTAATATTTTGAGTTAAATTTTCCAAATATTCATATCTACTAATAAAGTATTTGATAACTAGAACCAATGTAGTGTATTGAAACAAAATGTTAATGTTTTATTTACTTAGAAAAATCTATAACCAATAGCAAAAAATTTGGAGGCATTTGACTCTTGGGGGCCTAAAGCAGAAACTTTAGTGGCATTATCCTCGAGCCACCCATGCCCAAAAGTCACATCACTTTGCTGCAGACTGCAGTAGTAGTGGACCGAGCCACTGTATATCATACAACCTCTATCCGGTGCAGATAATATAGTACTGCTATTTGCAGATGGAGACTTTCTTAATTACATTGGTGACAAATTTAATTTGCCAATAGAGACTACAAACATTCACAACGTGATTGAAATGGTTTGTATTTCTTATATGCTTATTTATCTCTTTCTTCTATTTGTTAAAGAGCATCAGAACAAGTTAGGTTTCTTAAGTTTAATTTTCTATTTATGCTTTTGGTGGCTTAGTAACAGAATAAAAAGAAAATGAGAGAGGGAACAATCGAAGATAATAAGAAAAAACAACTTCCATGAAGAACAAAAAAGCACAACTAAAAGAAGACTTAAACAATAAAAGCTTAACAGAGAACAATAATTAAAAAAATTAGGAATTTGAAAATTACAAACACTTTTGGATTACCCAATTAAATTCTAACAAAGCGGTTGTTCAGCTCCTTCACGATTGGTGGAGACCCACCAACACCCACAAAGCCACCATTAACGAGATTGATCTGGATACGTTTACCAAAGACTTGAAATTAAAGTAATGGCGTAGATCAAAACTCTGAATTTTTTTTTAAAAAAAAAAAGAAAAGAACTATGTGCAGAAACATACTGGTTTAACCTCCCAACCACCATTGAATACATATTTATGGATTTGCGCTCCATCAACATCAAAGACCATTAAGGGAGAATATGCTCCTGAATCAGCCATGGTAAAGTCTCTGCCGGAGCCCGGAATCAACTTAAGGGTTCCAACACGGTCACAGTCCTTGCACTAACGGTTAATAAAAACAACAATCAATTACAGAACATTAAAAAGCACAAAAACTACCCTTCCTTTACCTTAACACAATGATTATATTCTTTTCATTGTGGTACTCTTTTTGATTCAGAAAGGTGCACTGCTCAGAAGTGACTGCACCACAATTCTCACATAGCATCTGAAACAGAAATCATAGAGAAGACAAAATTGAGTTTGTAAAATTTTCAGTAGAAAAAAATAGGTGAACATACAAAATTATACAAAAGAATAGAAGTTAGAGATTGAATCTCAGTTTGTAAAACTTTGTATCTTCAAAATTTAGGGCAGTAAATCAAGACTAAATAGAGAGAGAAATATACAGAGAGAGAGAAGGGGAGAGTCTGAGCTGTAAATGTTATCACCTTGAAGAAGTAGGGCATATTGACAGTATCTACTCCACCATACGGACGGAGGAAGCTGATATTCTCGAGCTTGGCGAAAATTTTAAGACGGAATTTCATTCTGCAGAACGTTATATGCAGGGAGGAAGTTTGTGTGAATTGCACCGGGGAAGAGGAAGATAGTGAGGAATATATATAGAGGATGGTGGAATTAGCAGTGGGCCCATTTCGCCCTCTCACGTGCCAGTAAAGTTTTCGCGCGTATAAAATATGTGATCACTGGTGTCAGTTCAGTTATGAGTGGAGTAGTAACTAATTTTTTATAGCTAAATTGTGGTATATCACATTGATTGTGATAACAAACTCAAGATTCCGCTTTGCAATCAAGCGACCCCTAATTCAATTAGTATATACTCGTTAAATTATGTGTTTTGTTTTTCTTTTACAATAAATCTAAATTATAGAAAGGCAAAAGAAAAAGATATGATACCGATATCATTCTGTGATGAAATTTGTTGTGGCTACCCCCTCCACCTCATAGTATTAACAAAAAAGGGTTCACTTGGATAAAAATGTTTAATTTTGAGATGATATTTCACATGACATGTTTTCAGGTACCATTTGAATTGGAGCATATCCTATATACAAATTTAAGTCTATCTTTTTTTACTGTATGAACCAAGTTCCTCCATCTAGCTGGACCTAATTATTTATGAAAGAACTAAATTATAGTATTTCTTAAGACAGTAAAAATTTGATTAGAATCATCTGTTAGAACGATACACTGAAATGACAACTCCTCTATCGAAATGATTTCATTTATTTAGCACATAAAAGAGCTTCACTATTTTGGAGTTAGCTAACAAGACGTACAAATTTCCACCTCATTCATAAATATAATATTGTTTCTTCATAAAGGAAAGGAAGATGCAACTTCTGAGGCTCTGTTTTAAAAGACAGTATTGGAACTCGCCCGGGGCTCGCCTTGGGGCGGAGCACTCCTAAAACGCCCCTGGGCTTATGTGTGGGGCTTAGTTCCGTGAGACTTACGCCTCGACCACTGGGGCTTACGCCCGGGACACGCCCAACGCCCAGCGTACTGGGCTCGCCTAATAGAACTTTATGCAATTGTATGTAATTAACCTTGTAAATCCTCAAATTTTCTTAATAAATCGTTGACTATTCAAAATTACTTTTTTTTTCTAATTTTAAATCATTAAGTTGAGAGTATTTTATGTCATGATTAAAGTGAAAATTATTGCACGTTATCCACTAAGACTGCTATGATAGTTAATTTTAAATAAATCTTTCATTTAAAAAATATTTATTTATTAACTTTTGTTATGTCTTTACTATATACTAGTCCATAATTTTTTTTATAATTATTTTTCTAAATATTTTTTTATTCATGTTTATGAGATACAATACTTATTGATTTAATAGCTCAGTATTAGTAACTATTTACAAATAATTAGTTATCATGGCATTGTATGGTGAATTATGTTTCACTTTATGAAATTGTTGAAACTTAAAAATGAACGATGCTTGAGAATGATATTTAAATTGTGAATTATATTTTTATATAAATTCTCTTTCAAATATAAAGCATATTAAATAAAAGGAGTATTTAAAGAAAAATATCAAATTATAATATCGAAATTCTTTCAAGATTCATTACTCCTTAAGAGATACATATAAGATTTCGTATCGAATACATTATTTTTGATGTTTGAGCTGTAACGGCGTTGCAGCTAATTTGCATATTATGATATATGTCATACGTTTCGTATTATTCATAGTTGAATTATAATTTATAAATATTTTTAAATAGATTATTTGTATAATTTTGTAATTTTAACGTAATTTTTATAATTATATTTTATTTTATACTATCTTAAAATTTTTGAAATTAGTAAAATTTAAAGATCCGTGGGACTTACACCCCATGTCTCAGGGCTTACGCCTCGCCTCGTCAGAGGTAAAACGCCTCGCCTCACGCCCCCGCCTTTTAAAACATTGCTTCTGATAATAATTGATGGAAACAGATTAATTGAGAGGTTGTACCAAGACAATCTGTAAGAATTTTCATTATAAATCCAACAAGTTTAGGACTAATGAATAATTTTTAAATCCTCCGTATAAAAACAATAATTTTACTACTCAACAGGGTAGAGAGTATAGACGGTGTGGAAAATCTCACCGACTCGAAATATGTGATATGGATTAAGCTAGCGTTTGACCATAGATTCCCAAATTCGTTTTAAAAAATTTGATTTGGGTGACGTTTTGTTTGAAGATGAAAATATATTTGGACACATATTTTCAAAATATATTTCACTTTTTTTTTGTTTGTAAAAACATGAACTTATACAAGTTCTAAAAACTATCACAAATACCTAACAATACCTTTATCAATAACATTCATTATATATCACAAACCATAGTCCTAAACATAAATAAATTTGGTATAAGATTATCATTTTTATAATGAACTACATAATACACTATCAGATGACTGAGAAGGTGAAGCACCATTGTTACAAAATAATAAATGGTGGGCTCTTTTATAAAATACAAAAATTTGGGGCAATTTTTAAAAAATATAATAGTGATATTTTGGGCCAAATTTGGGTTCTGGGCTTTGGGAATTTGCATAAATATAGATAAGATCTATGGCCAAATATGTATTTGCAAAAAGGAACTTTTACATTCCTATGCCACATAGGAAACCCTATTACCCTCAATGTTTAAGGTTTGACTTAATTATACTTAGTATACCAAATTACCAATTCTATACCGTAGTGTATTTTAGCTTGTAGCTTTGGTATGATTGCTTTAATAGCCAAACACGTAAAAAAAATTTGTGATAAAAGATAGCAATGAGATTTGAACGCACGATTATTCAAAAGTATGTTTTTAGCATTGAATATGAGTCAGAGTTATATGAATATAATTAATTTAATGTTACACAATGTATTCTTTTCATCCATTAATTCCTCTAACAAGTCCGACTATCTCCCTTTCGTTGTTTATGTATTTTCCTCTTGCAATTAATTAGGAAAGCAAAGGTAGGAAAACGATATTTAGAGATTCAAATTCTAGAACAATTCACACATTCGTAGTCAAATTAGTACTTTCTTTTAACTTTCGTAAGTCTTAATTTTGGACTTACGATAGAAAATGCACATCCGATTTTTATTCTTAACAATGGACATTTTCTTTCTCAATCATTTAATAAAGTTGTTATTCCTTCCTTTCTTATTATTGTTTTCCAAAGTAATTAATGAAGGCCAGAAATGACCATATTTCCAGCGAGACGAGCTGAGGGCCGCAACAGCATATCTGGTGGTATCGGTGCCGCAACTGGTGATGGAGATGGTGCCATATCATCAGCTGGTGGAGAAGGCGGTGGTGGTGACGGCGACGGTGGTGGTGGAGGTGACGGCGATGGAGGTGGTGGAGAAGGTGATGGAGGTGATGGAGAAGGTGGTGGTAGTGGCGACGGCTGTTGCCGCTTAGGTTGAGGGCTACGAGAAAGGCTACTTTTAGGAGAGTTTTTTGGAGATTTCCCAAAGGAAGGCCACTTAAACTTAAAACGCTGAAGAGTTGCATCAGGCAAACTTTCAGTGCCATGATCTCCATTAGTGAGCTCTGAAAATGAGATAATATCAAAATATAATGGAGTTATTGAATTGATTGTAGCTTGTAGCTTAATTGGTATTTTTGACATTGGTATAATTTCTCATTCAATTGTAGCTTAATTGATATTTTCGATATAATTGCGTTGTTTGCAGAAGATTTGTAGAAGTTTTAGTCGTTTTTGATTTGTGAAAACAGAAAATAAAACATCTACAATCAGAATACAAATAATCTACAATTTATCTACAAAATATCTACAAACTGAGTACATTGAATTTTTATATCCCAATTCCCATTCAATTGTAGTTTAATTGGGATTTTGGACATAATTGCGTTTTTTGCAGAAGATTTGTAGAAGTTTTAGTCGTTTTTGATTTGTGAAAACAGAAAACAAAGCATCTACAATTAGAATACAAATAATCTACAATTTATCTACAAAATATCTACAAACTGGGTACATTGAATTTTTATATCCCAATTCCCATTCAATTGTAGCATAATTGTGATTTTTGACATAATTGCGTTTTTTTCAGAAGATTTGTAGAAGTTTTAGCCGTTTTTTATTTGTGAAAACAGAAAATAAAGCATCTACAATCAGAATACAAATAATCTACAATTTATCTACAGTTTCTGCAATATGTCTTCTTCTTCTTCTTCTTCTTCTTCTTCTTCTTCTTCTTCTTCTTCGAGTTTCAATCTAAAATTCAGTCAAAACCAGTCTAATCTTCACCAAACCCTCAAACTTGAGCTATAAACTCCAAACCATATTCCCGATTATTTTCAACAACACCCAATCCAAATAAATAATGATTTTTGAAAACCCAAATTTGAATTCAAAGCTTTCAAGCTTTNGTTTGACTTAATTACACTTAATATACCAAATTACCAATTCTATACTATAGTGTATTTTAAGGGTACAATTAATGCAGCGTATATCCCTCCTTAATTAAAGGTACCGTATATCCTACCCCTCCCACGTTTCTCTCTCCCAAACCCTCACCCTCACCCACGTTTTAGTGAGGGATTTCTTTTCTTCATGCCCTCTTTTTTCAAAATCAGCAGAAGTCAAAAAAGAGTCGTCAAAATCAGGAACAGATAGGTTAAAGGGGTCGTTTTGTTTGTTAAGGTCTGAAAAGGGTTGAACTTTTTTATCTTCTTCAACCTTTTCACCTGTGGGATACACCATGTTCAAGTAACGAAATTTGGGTTTTCAAAATCTTTGACATGGTTGTTGTAATAGGAAAGATACTGACTTTATAAACGTATCCAAAGAGTGATGTGCGTATTTTGTTGAGCAAGCGAAAGCATCTTAAACCCTAGGGTTTAACAGAATAATTTAGAAGGCCTAAAAATAAATTCGAAATGAGATTTTAGTCGTTTGGATTTGTGAAAACAGAAAACAATGCATCTACAATCATAATACAAATAATCTACAATTCATCTACAAAATACCTACAAACTGGGTATATTGAATTTTAATATCCCAATTCCCATTCGATTGTAGTTTAATTGGGATTTTCGACATAATTGCATTTTTTGCAGAAGATTTGTAGAAGTTTTAGTCGTTTTTGATTTGTGAAAACAGAAAATAAAGCATCTACAATTAGAATATAAATAATCTACAATTTATCTACAAAATATCTACAAACTGGGTACATTGAATTTTTATATCCCAATTCCCATTCAATTGTAGCATAATTGTGATTTTTGACATAATTGCGTTTTTCAGAAGATTTGTAGAAGTTTTAGCCGTTTTTTATTTGTGAAAACAGAAAATAAAGCATCTACAATCAGAATACAAATAATCTACAATTTATCTACAATTTCTGCAATATGTCTTCTTCTTCTTCTTCTTCGAGTTTCAATCTGAAATTCAGTCAAAACCAAGTCTAATCTTCACCAAAACCCCTCAAAATTGAGATATAAACTCCATACCATATTCCCGATTATTTTCAACAACACCCAATCCAAATAAATAATGATTTTTGAAAACCCAAATTTGAATTCAAAGCTTTCAAGCTTTTTAATGGCTGTCAATGATGGAAAATATATAGAAGAATATTTACTTCCATACTGTGACCAAATTGGGGTTGCAATCCTAGATGATGGAATGCAGGTCTGTAGCCAAAACTGCATTTTAAGTGTTAACCACCTACTGATCGAACAGGAACCTTGTTGTTTATATTTAGTAAAACTAAATCATTCTATTCTTGGGTTAAATTGAGTTAAAAACGTTTCCCATCTTTTTGTGGAATATGTATACCTCTCTGATTCTTTCCCCTTTATAATTATAACTATTTGATCTTCCAGACAATTCAAAATTGGATACCCTTTTTATTTCACCCGACTTTATATCCGACCAAAAAATGGCTTTGCTTCTGACTAGGATTTACTTAGGAGTATGATTGTGGGCTCCTAATAATTGGTATTTAATGAATGATATATATTTTGTAGAATAACTGTAAACATGACGGGTAAATATGAAACTATGCACATTTTTGGTAATAAAGTTTCATATATGGTATAGGAAGGAAAAAGTCTCTTGCAAAAAATACCCCAAATATACATTGGCAAAATCTATGGCCAAACGCGTCCTAAAATTCACTGCGAGGTGTCCAATTTGTTTCAACGATCAAGGCGCGTTTGACACAATTTGTTTTAGTGATCGAGCCAGGGGACTGCGCACAACCTACATATCACTAGATGGGTTAATGGTGTCCGTTTTACCCAATGGGGCCCATTATCTCTTTTATTCTGTAATTAAATTTTTGTCATTTATTTTTAGTTTTTTTATATTTAAACTTGAATTAATTTGAAGTGTAAATTAAGTTTTTTACGATATAAAGGGATATTCCCGTTATTGAAACTACACCGATAGGATTTGGATTACATTTAAAAGAAAATGAATACATTTTTTAAAAATGAAAAAGATGCATATACTCTTAAAAGCAGTAAAAGCAAGGTCCAAGATAAATTATTACAAGCGATAATTGGTGTAGTCGATACAGTTCCATCTTAGTCTTTATGAAAAATAAATAAAGCATGTAATGAAAGTAAATCCAAAAAGATTAACTAATATGGGATTTTAAAGTTCAAATAAAAAGCTTTAACTAGGTTGCAGTAAATATGACTATCTACGAAGCTATGACCATAATAGTAGTAACAAGTATAGGAGAAAGAAAGAGAAGTTTTACAACGTCTTACACCCGAATCAAGTATTTGTTGGCTGGCATCTCTCCTTAGACACTGATAGTGACATTTTATATTTTAATACCAGTCAAATATAATCATATATAATATAGATAATGACATTTTAAATTGTGTGACCAATCAAATGAAAATGTTTAATTTTGAGATTGATTCGATAGAAACACTTAGTGGAAATATTATTTATTACGTAACAAAAGTTTTCATTGCAAAGTAATTCACTCATGTTATGAACGATAAAAGAAGAAGAGTATTGCAGAGAAAAGTATAAAGAGACAATTCTTATTAATTTGGGATAAATTACAATGGAATAAGATACCTCTATTTATAAGGAAAGAGTGACTTAACCACCAAGTAAAATTCCTAGAATCTCTCAAAATATAGATATTCACCATAAATAAAATTCTATTTATAACACTCCCCCTTGAATGTCTATTCAACAGATAATGTGCCTCGTTAAAACCTTAACTAAAATAAAACCCAATGGAAAAAAAATTCTAGAAAAGAAAAAGAGTACACATATCTCACTACAAGAAAAACAGCCTTTAAGGAAGGGATATCTAGTCCCTAAAGATCAAAATCTGATCATAATAGAGCAATTACGACGGGAATAAGCCGGTCGCCACCCGTCGTAATAGCTTCCGACGCTAAAGGTCAATAGCGACGGGGCAAGAAACCCGGTCGTTAAATGTTTTTAGAGACGGACAAAACATCTGGTCGTTAAAACCCTTTAGAGACTACAAATCTCGTCCCAGTAGACGATTAATTTTTTATGAAAAATATATATTTTCCCGTCGTTAAAAAGTGTTAGCGACCAGCCTTCTCCTCCCTAATAGATAATAAATATATTATGAAAAATATATATTTGCCCGTCGTTAAACAGTTTTAGCGACCAACATTCTCCTCCCTAATAGACAATAAATATATTATGGAAAATATATATTTTCCGGTCGTTAACTAGTTTTAGCAACCAACCTTTTACTGGTCGTAGATTATCTTTTAGAGACGAGCAGCACTGGTCCCTATTTTAAATAATTGTAGTAACTTTAATGTCGACCGTATTTCTGGTCTCTTATAACCACAAGCACTCTGTCACGACCCGAATTTCCCACCCTCGGGAGTCGTGATAGCGCCTACTAATCGGAGCTAGGCAAGCCAAGTATTAAAACATTGTCCGATAACATCTCAACAATATAAATAAAACGAGTCATTTAAATTAATGCGGAAGTCTTAAGTATAAATAAACTAAAAACAAATGCGAAAATTCAATTTCAACCTCTACCCAAGACTGGAGTCACTAACTCACGAACGTCTATAGAATACTACATACAAAGTCTGAACAAGGTACAATACTGTTTGCTTCGGTACAAGTGATAACAAACTAAATAAAATAGGAAGGGACTCCGGCCTGCGGACGTCAGCAAGGCTACCTCGAATGTCCCTGGACTGAAGTCAACTCCCAGTCAAATACTGCTGTGGTCCAAAAGCTACTCCGGTACCGTGATCTGTGCAAAAGAGTACAGAAGTGTAGCATCAGCACAACCGACCCCATGTGCTGGTAAGTGCCTGGCCTAACCCCGGCGAAGTAGTGACGAGGCTAGACAGGACTACCAAACCAACCTGTGCAGTTCAATACATATATATGCAATAAAAGGAAAGAATGCAGAAATTAAACAGTTAGGAGGGAGAGGAGCATACTATAGGGGAAGTACAGTCCGGATATAAAGTCAGCAATTTAAGCAAGAAACCGTGCAATAACAATAATTAATGAGAGCAGGAAAATTAACAGTTGCATGGCATCAACCTTCGTGCTTTTACTCTCATTCTCACAAAAAGCAATCAAATAAAGTGCACGACATCAACCTTCGTGCTTTTCCTCACATAACTCTCATATCATGGCACGGAATAATCCTTCATGCAATTGTACTCAAATCAGGGCACGGAATGTTCCTTTTGTGCATAAATAATCAAAACATGGCACGGAATGACCCTTCGTGCAGATATCATCAAAACATGGTACGGAATGACCCTTCGTGCAAATATAATCAAAACATGGCACGGAATGACCCTTCGTGCAAATATAATCAAAACATGGCACGGAATGACCCTTCGTGCAAATATAATCAAAACATGGCACGGAATGATCCTTCGTGCATTATCACTCTTCCTCACCCAAACAGTAATCACAACCAAACGGGGCGAGAGGAGAAACAAATAATAAGAAATGTCCCGGCAAGGGAAAAACACAAGTAAACAGCTAAATCCCGGCAAGGGAGCAACAACAATAACTTTCACATCCCGGCAAGGGAGATAATCAATATACTCAAACCATCCCGGCAAGGGATTAATCATATCTCTTTCTATTTCTTTCATTTCTTACTCAATAGTCTTTTTATCGTTCGAGCCAACGCTCCAAAGAATTTACAATTTATAATTAATCCTCATACTCTTCACATTACATAGAATTCATCAATTAACATGGAAGAGTCATAACAATATCAGAATAAGTACAAACAAGGACCCACGGTCATGCTAGACACCGGTGTATAGATACTCGTCACCATGCCTATACACTGTACTCAACATTTAGCAATTAGCAATCAACACTCTAATCTTATTCCCTCAAGCCAAAGTTAGATCGAACACTTACCTCAAATGCTCCAAAGTCAACTCAAGCCTCTAGTATAGCTTTACCCCTCAAATTCGGCTCCAACTCAGTCAAATCTATGAAATAATGACTTTACAATATTAATAATAGCTAAGCAAACTAAACCCAATGCTTAAATATGAATTTCTAAGCTTTCTTCCCAAAATTCCAAAAATCAACCCCGGGCTCGCTTGGTCAAAACCCGAGGTTCGAACCAATTCCATGTCACCCATTCCCCCACGAGCCCGAATATACAATTTGTGTTCAAATTCGACCCCAAAACGAGGTCTAAATCAAAGAAAATTGAAAAGCCCTAATTCTACCCTTTTCCCCCAATTTACACCTTAAGTTACATGATTTAGGTCTAGGAATTTGATAAATGATGATAGATAATGAAGAAAACGAGTTAGAAAATACTTACCCAAGAAGCTTTGGTGAAGAATCGCTCTAAGAGTCCCCTAGGGGCTGTGGAGAAGAAGAGCTCGTGTGAAATTTGGGAATAATCCCGTCACTGGTCTGTTTTTGAGCTTTAAAAATCACTGGGCAAAAATGCCCTTCGCGTTCGTGGGAAGGGGGCCGCGTTCGCGAAGGGTAGATGAGTTAAAGCATCGCGAACGCGAGATGCTAGTCGCGAACGCATAGAAGGATGGGGCTGGGTCCGGGATTTGCTTGTACGCGAACGCGAGATGGGGCTCGCGAACACGGTGAAGGGGAAACCAAGGCTACGCGAACGCGGGGACTTGTCCGCGAACGCGAAGAAGGGAAAGCCCACTGGTACGCGAACGCGAGCTGAGTGCTGCGAACGCGAAGAAGCAATTATCTGAGCAAAAATTGCGGAAAAATCTGCTATCATTCTAAGTTTAAAAAAAACACCCCGAACACCTCTGAAAACACTCCCGAGCCCTCGGGGCTCCTAACCAATCACACACGCTAACTCAACAACATCCTACGAACTTAACCGTGCGATCAAATCGCCAAAATAACATCATAAACGAGGAATCAAACCTCAAAATCATCACTTTTTCATCAAACTTCATAAACTTCAAATTTTAGATATTTAGGTCCGAAACACGTCAAATGACGTCCGATTTCGACCAAATTTCACAGAAAGCACTTAAACCATATATAAGACTTGTACCGGGCGTCGGAACCAAAATACGAGCCCGATACCACTATCTTTTAATCAATTTTCATTTCTATTTTCCTTAATAATTTCAGAAAAATAATTTCACAGAAAAATTCTTTTCTCGGGCTCTAGACCTCGGATTTCGACTCCGGGCACATGCCCGAGTCCCATATTTTTCTACGGACCCTCCGGGACCGTCAAATCACGGGTCCGGGTCCGTTTACCAAAAATGTTGACCGAAGTCAACTTTAATCATTTTAGAACTACATTTTGAAATTTTTCACTGAATTTAACATATAATCTTTCCGGCTACGCGCCCGGACTGCGCACGCAAATCGAGGCAAGTAAAAATGAGGTTTTCAAGGCCTCGGAAGCACGGGATAAAAGAGAAAACAGGTGATGACCCTTTGGGTCGTCACACAGTCCTAAAGCTTGATGTCACAAAAAAGTTATTTTTATCAATAAATGTCAAATTGCTATATAAAAAGTTATTAATTAGAGTGTTAACATCGCATGATGTTATATAGTTTCAATATTTGCTCAACACCTTAACAAAAAAACTTAGCTAACATCCTGAGCGAGACTATGATATCATGTTTTACATAACATCCCTAGCAAAATAATAATGAGTTGTGTTTCTTCTAAACTTTCGTCTTGACTTGTAGCTTCAATCTTCAAAACCTGTAAGTAAAATTTTTGAAAAGACGATGATTAATAACTATTGGTAAAATAATATATGTAAATTTACACTAGCTATGGTTAAACCGCTTACCCCAAAAGCAGTGTAAATTCATCAGGTGTTATCCAGCAACATCAACAAGGCTACAAGAATATAAGAAAATCAATTAGAAAAGTTTTGGAACGGTAAATCAAACTTCGGTTCGAGAAAAGAAGAGGAAAATGTTTATTTTGTTATTTTGTATAAGTCACACATGGAACTAGAACTAAGAGTAAACAGAACAATTGTCCTCTAAAGCTATAAAAGGATATCTGTAGAAATTAAAAGGCCATCAAAGTCTCAAACCGACAAACAACTATATATGTTACCTAGGTAAGACTTAAAATAGTAAAAGTTACAAATATATGGACCATGAACATGAATATTATTGCAGCTGAAATGAAGATGTTTTATTTCCAGCTAGACAGTTTGAGAGTGTGACCACATATGAAACTTGCATTCTTTGGTATAAGCTTGTGGTCCATTTCAGAAAATTCCAGATTGGTTTGACTTCCATCTTTTTTGGATCTCAACCAAGACCTGAATATATATCATCATATAGGATATATGAATTAATTAGAATCCACTAATCAAAACGATTGCACTGTTTCCACCAAACAATTGTTCCTTGAGTAAAGAGGTAGAGAATGAAAAACGGCCTTTAAATATTGCCAACAGTTGCAGGCTACAAATCACTTTTGACATTCCTTATTTGTTAATCTTACTGCATTAGTTTATACTCTAAATTTAGCTTTAAAAAAGGGCAATTTGATATTTTACCGGCCTCCCTGACAGTGGGCATAATTAGCCTTCTCTAAGAATTATCAAATATCACAAACATCTGGTGTAGGATCCAAAGATTCTACATATTCTTGATATGATAGTTCATATGCTTGCAAGGTAAAAAAACTTAAGAAACTTAAAACTCGTAGTTTACTCGCTAGTGTCATCACTCACTGAACGAGCCTTTCAATTAGTACCAGTTGAGTGCTTCTGCCGATAGTTTTAAATTTGAAGGAATATAAATTCATGGATGCAACAGAGATAGCAATAAGATAGAAATGACTATATAAAAATCAACAAAAAAAATTAAGAAGCAGGGTATATTGTACTAACTTGATCAAAAGACAAAAATAGTCATTCAGTTGAGCGATGTCGTAGGCGAGACATGTGATTGTTGAGCAGCGAAGAATTCCTTTATTTTCTTCATTTCTTTCATCTCATCTTCTAAGGTAGACAAGCGTTCTTGTAAGGATTTGTTTTCCTCACTCAAAGTTTTGTTTTCCTCTCGAGTTAAACGTAGCGCGGATAGTAAGTCAGCCTTTGAAGAAGCGCCACCTTTCAAGTCTTTCGCCGTTACTCCACCCCAAAGCCAAATACATGGCTACGACTTTGAGGTTCGCAACATTTTTCTACTATCTCTATGCTAGGTAGAGATGGATCTGATTGAACAATTTCTTCAATTTGAGCCTTCAAAGCATACAAAGAAATATTTTATATCAAAATCCATAATAATTTCAGCTAATTTACATACTCAATTTACCAAATATATATGTTTTTCAATCGCTTCAGGTTCAACAAGCTTGTTATTTTTCTTACGTGTCTCAAAGAAAATTGTTGCCAGATCTTGTGGATTGCCATCTTTTCCGCCCTTAACATCAAAGGCAAACATGTCAAAAAACAACTCGTAGATATTTCCTTTAATAAATAGAGATTTTATGATAATACTAATTCATAAAGAGATACTTCACCTCATCATTTCTTTTTCGTTTCTTTTGTGAAGGATTTCCTAAGTCTATAGTATCATCATCCATTTGTTTCACAATCTCATAGGAATCACGAGGTTGAGTCTTCCTCACTACATGCCAACCTTTGTTGGAATTATCATTAGCATAAAACACTTGAGATGCTTGCTCTGCTAAAACAAAAGGCTCGTTTGTTTTCAAAAATCTCCCTGGATTAACACTCACGAAGTCATACTCATCCTTTTTAACTCCGTTTATTTTATTATACACATCAAACCAATTACACCAAAATAAAATCACTCGTCTATCCATGACAAATTGCAATTCAATCACATCTTTCAAAACTCCATAGTAATCAATATTCTCACTATCTTTATCATTCTCACCGACTACAACAACACCACAATTTTGAGTCCTTAACTTTTTATCATAATCTTCTACATGAAATCTATATCCATTGACAATGTAACCATTAAAATGTGTCGTATATTGGGTAGGACCACGTGAAAGTGAGAGCAGATCTTCCATGATCCGACTATTATCTCCTTTATGCAATTGTGCAACCTATCAATAAAATTAGTTGAATATTTTAGAATGAGTAATACAACATTAAAATGTCAAATTTGATGTTTATGTATTACTCACCCTAACTTTAAACCATTCAATAAATTGTCGATTTCATTTTGCATCAGACAAGTATTGTGCGGTATACACATGAGTTTGTGCAAACTCTCTACAAAGTTGAAATGAACCATAAATGTCATATAGAAAAAAAATACCCTAAAGAAAATAAGGAAATAGGACGATATGAAAGAACTCTCCTTACTTGAGATATGGTATGACTTCATCACAATTCTTCAGTATGTATATATGTGCTTGTTCCAATTCATTTGCTTCAAGCTCACATTGATCTTTAGCTCCCAAAGTACTCCAGGTTGACAAAATATAGATAATCCTCCATTAGATTTTTTTAACCCCCCATCATAATTCCGTTCAGGCCGATTGAATTATGTGTCAATTCTATCCAGATACCTTGAACATAAGGTCATACATTCATTTGCAATATAACCTTATGCAATAGAACCTTCTGGACATGCCCTATTACCAATTAGAGATTTCAAAAAATATAGCCATCGTTCCACAGGATACATCCACGGATAATAAATAGGTCCAGCAATCTTAGTTTCACCAGCTAAATGAATAGACAAGTGCACTATGACATAAAAAAATGAAGGAGGGAAGACTTTTTCTAATTTGCAAAGTGTTATAGGAATGTGTGCTTCAATATGTTTCAAGTCATCAATCCTTAACTCCTTTGATCCAAGCACATTAAAAAATAAAGATAACTCAATAAGCGGTTCACATACTTCTTTGGACAAAATACCACGAAGTGCAAGGGGGAGTATATGTTGTAGAAGAACGTGGCAGTCATGACTTTTCAACCCAGATATCTTGTGATATTTTAGGTTCACACATTGAGAAATATTAGATGAAAGTCCATCAGGAACTTTTAAATTCTTTAAGAAAAGGCATAATTTGTGCTTACCTTCAGGAGGCAATGTGTAGCATGCAGTTGGAACTTCGACTTTCTCCCCTTTTTTGATGGGGTGCAATTCCGGCCTAATGTCATTTCTTGCAACTCTAGCCGAGTTTTAATTATGTCCTTAGTCTTTCCTTTGAGATTCATGATTGTCCCCATAATATTATCACATATATTCTTTTCAATATGCATAACATCCAAATTGTGTCACAACAAGAGAGATTTCCAATATGGAAGTTCAAAAAAGATACTTTTCTTGTTCCAATTATCCTTTCGATTTTCATGTGATATCTTCTTCCTTTTCTTTGGATCCTTTGTTAATTGTATTCCTTCAAGATCTTGCACTTGATTAAGTATCTCAATACCAGAGCGCATTTTTGGTGGGAGCCTTTTCTCTTTTGTACCATCAAATAAATCTTTGTCATTCCTCCATTTGTGATTAATAGGAAGGTAATGCCGATGACCCATAAAGCACTACTTCTTACAGTTAGACAATCGAATTGAGGAAGTATCTTTATTGCAACATGGACATGCCAATTTGCCTTTTATACTCCATCCAGATAAATTTCCATATAATGGAAAGTCATTGATGGTCCATAACAAAGAAGCATGCAACTTAAAATTCTGTCTAGCTGATGCATCAAAGGTCTCAATCCCAACTTCCCACAACTCCTTCAGTTCCTCTATTAAAGGTTGAAGATATGTATCAATTGCATCTCCTGGACTATCTGGACCAAGAATAAGCATTAACAAAATAAAGTTTTCCTGTTTCATACACAACCAAGATGGTAAATTATAAGGAATAAGAACCACATGCCAAATGCTATATGAGGTTTTTGAATTTCAAAATGGCTGAAATCCATCACTAGCAAGTCCAAGTCGAACATTACGAGGTTTGGCCGCAAAAGAAGGATGAATTTCATCAAATGACTTCCATGCCATTGAATCAGCTGGGTGCCTCATTATTCTATCATCAATTCTTTTATCCTTATGCCATGTCATTAGAGTAGATGTCTTTGTAGACATAAACAACCTCTGAAGCCTAGGCTTTAATGAAAATAACGTAAAATCTTTGATGCTATCTTCTTACCTTTTTTATTCCTTGTTTCCCCGCTATGTTTATCTATCTTCCATCTGGATGCACCACAAATTTTGCAAGAATCGAGTAAGCTATCCCCCTTCCCCTATAACATACAATCATTAGTACAAGCATCAATCTTGTTGTAAGAAAGTCCAAGGTCTTGAATTATCTTCTTTGCTCATAATATGATTTTGGCAAATTGGCGCCATCAGGCAACAACTCCTCTTTTAACATTTTCAATAACATTGTAAATGATTCATTACTCCAACGACCAATACTTTTGATGTGAAGAAATTTAATTAAAGAGGAAAGCTTTGAAGCTTTTGAATTTTGGTACAATGGCTGCTCAAAATCCTTCAATAGCCTGTAAAAAAAATTTGCTTCAACATTTGGTTCCTCGAGTAAATCGTCACAACCAGTATGGGTAGTTCCTCCATCAAGATTAGGATATAAATCTCTCAACAGTTCTTCTACTTCATCTTCACTCTCACATTCTTCTACTTCATCACCATCTTCATCTTCAGAATCTGACAGTGGCTCACCTAAAGTTTCCCCGTGATGATACCAAAAAGTATAATTTTAAATTATTCCATATACTTTAAAATGTGTCTCAACTGTCTTACGAGTTCCTAAAGTTGTATTACAACATTTAACACATGGACATCTTATTTCATATTCTTCTCCTGTTTTCTGGAAAGCATAATTCAAAAATTTTTGCACTTTGATTAAGTAGGCTTCATCGAGCCGATTATCAACAAGTTGCATCCATTGCTTACTAGGTGCCATTACCTTGGAGAGTAGATAAAAATTAGATTAAAAAAAGCTAAAGGATAAGAAAAATACTAAGATGCACACAACTTATTACGATCAAATGCACACAACTATGTTGAACTCTAAGGTCACACTAGGAGATTAAGCTCCTTTTTTTCCAGTATATGCATTGCAATGTACAATCAGTTGGCAAAAAGATAAATAAAAAAAATTATAAATTAACTTGTAATTAAGATGCTAGTTCCTGAAGCATGTATACATGGTTCTTTCTGGCGTGCGCCGATATTGAAGTAAGTACTTACACCCAAAAAATGCAAAAAATATACTTTACGACACAAGATCATCCAAAATATCGCTTGCAACTAAAAAGACTGCTTGTTAGTGAATTTCCCTGAGTTCTTAACATGTATCAAACTCATAGCTAAAGTTGAGAGTGAAGCTAGATTTCACTGCTTTCTGGCGTAACAAATAACTTCTAAGATTACTGTTCGGAATATCATATAATTGCCACAATCATTATGAGCCACAAGGCTAAACCTTAAATTTAATAATCATATTGCACATTTATAGATGTCTTTTACAATCCTTAATAATGCTAATCAATTCACAATGCAAGTGGCGCAAGGTTTGAAACTCTGTGGACAATGGGCCAGCACCTCTACCCGTCTCCACTTATATACCGGACTTTTGACTGCGTAAGGTTCGAATCTGTTATGTGCCCCTAACCCATGTATCACGTCATGCGCTTTTACCACTAAGATCAAAGCCCTGGGGCTTATATTGTACTACAAAGTTCATTTACCTGTGTATAGTGTATATGAGTAGCTGTAACTCTTAATTATCAAAGTATTTATCTCCTAATGTACAACAAATGGTGACAGTATCTACATCTTAGGACTTCAAAAGGGACAAGAAGTACTCATTGTCAATTCTCTATTGGCCTAGTTGTTCTTCTCCCCGCTTCATATTATTAGTCAACATACTTCCTTTTTCTTTGTACGTTGTAATTTTCACCAATTTTGTATTAATCTAGCTATTTCTATATTAAGAGGAAACCTGAATGTGGCTCTAGTGCATTATATTCTATTCGGATAACAGTTCAATTTAGTTCTTCCAATTTTATGTGCCATAGTTAACTGAATATGAAATTTAAGATGTTAATCTGATTTATTTTGTATTATAAAAGCAATAGTACACAAAACAGAAGAGTGCGCTATTTCTTTTTTCTTATAGACACACACTCATATATCTCTTCAATTTTAAAGCAATAATTAAGAGATCAGAACCTTAGCTTAGTAAAAACCAACGGCTTTTCCCAATCTCAAACATTTCCTCAAGCCGAGCTTTAGTTTCCTTAGCAGC